CAGAGTCCGCACTGGTGATGTTTTCTAAAACGAACCAGTGGGTGCTGGGACTGTTCCCTTTTAAAGATAGAGTCCGCACCGGCTACGCTGGTGGGTGCTGGGACTATCTTTTCGGGAAACAGAGTCCGCGCTGTATTTACTGAACCATATCGAATACAAGAAGTTTATATACATACATTATGTATTCTGTTCAAGCTTCTCTTTTATCTTCTAGTTTATTGACCTTATCCTTTTTAATACACTCTATATATCCTTGTTTTCATAAATCGTTAATCGTATCGATATTTGAAATATCGATACTGTATCGCCCATCTCTACTACTGGTAAAACCGTATACATAGGTTACTTATTATAAAAGAAAGAAGGTGCCGACGATCTCTTGCTTAAGAATATGTTATTTTCAAGATTTTTTATTCTGCCAAGAATGTTTCTTTTATTTTCAAGATTTTTTATTTTGCCAAAGATGAACAGGTGCCTCTTCTACCTCACGTATAACATATTCTTAATTCTATTTTTTTATATGCGTTTTTTCAATGCGTTTTATTTACAAGTAAATATTTCCGTTTTTTTAATACTCTGCAAAAATGTTAGAGGAAATCTCATTTAAACAACTGATTGACGGTATGCAACGTAACATCCTGCTGATTGCAAATGTAAATTTCTATGATTATATTTCGTTTTGTTCTTTAAAAGAGTTCGTTACTCTGAATGGCTTAATGTGAAGTAATGAATATAAAAATGTATAATTGCGTTGTACAAAAGAAAAAATATTATTTATTTACTCATTTATTCGAAGCGCTAATATTTTATAATAATAAATGATTGCTTCTTTTGCGTGAGAATAAATTTTTATTTTATTTTGCAATTTATAAATTCCAACAATTAATAAAGGAAATGTTTTTAGTTCAATAAATACACGCGTATATTATACATGTGAAGAAATCTTTATGATGACGTAAATATTTACATTAAGCCATCTCGATATTTTAATCTTAGAAGACTTCGTCTCGATTTCCCACAACACGTAGCGGTTGTGAAAAGTTACCGTGTGCAATCTTAATGCGAAATTGTACCGCGATTTTTAGTATTAAGTATCCTAGTTCAGCCGATGAATAGACGCTGCAAAAAATAATTCAGTTATATCGACGCAATGAGATGTATTCTGACTTTATTGAACTTTTTTATATAACGATCGAAATTAGACAATGTATATTTTAAAATATTGAAGCTTATTGAATATAGATATAATATATATCAATTTATATTATAATAAATACTAATAAATAAAAACATCAATTTGACAAAGTAAAATTACGAAATTATTAACCTAAACCTAATCTATATGTGAGCGCGTGCGCCTGGCTGCGTATGTACTAAAATCTTCCCGTTTTCATCATTTCCTGAAACTGTAGACATTCGCTGCGAAGTTCTATGGGAACATTCGCTGCGAAATTCTATGGGAAAAGCTACCCAGGACATTCGAACGTTCGTAGAAACTACTTCGTCAATCGCAGTACGTATGCGATTGTTCTGAGATTATCGCAATATACTTTTGCGATAATCTCAGATCGTTCTCAGATTCTCCCTGTGCTGTGTGGGATACACTTTATTGTACAATTCTTTTATTGATCTGTATCTCAGCTACTCGATACAACCCAAAAAAAGAAAAGGACAATAAAAGTGCAAGCTACAATAATTACCGTACAATAATGTAGAACAGAAAATACTTAAAATATAAACAAGGAATCTATAAAATGTAATATTAATAAGCTCCATTTCTTCTCCAAGTTTTTCATTCGTATAACCTTTTGATTATTCATCCTTCAGGCACGTAAGAACTTAAAAAAAAAAAAGAAAAAATAATTAATTAATTAAATGTATCACTAACAGTATTCATGCCTTTACAAATACACATGCACCATCGCCCATACATATATATATACATTCATATATATATTTAACACACCCGAATACATGAATTTATGTAACATACACAATATAAAATTTAATAAGTAACGTAATGTATAAAAGTCTATTAATGCACACATATTAATACATATATAGTAACGCATAATATAAAAACACAATATCAATATTAACGCAACTGAAAAAATTGCACATACATGTTGCCATTAATTAAAAATAAAATGTAAAACGCAACAATACAATCAATACATTATTAAATATAATATAAGTTAAACAATATAATTTGAAAATAAACAAAATGCAATAAAAAAACACGCAAAGTTATATATAATGTTATTTGCAAGCAAACAAAACATGCAATAAATAAACACACAATACTGGGTAAGTAATATATCACAATCCATTATAAGAATAAGAATCAATGAAACAGTAGCCTCAATAATTAAAATATGCCCGTAAAACATAACTCAACGTGACAATTAAACATTGTAAGAAGAAAATTTATAAATGGGAAACGTTTAAAAGTTTCCTATTTTTTGTGGTAACCCGTTTGCATGATTTATTATGCAGCGATAATGTGTAATATATACAAAGATATAATTTTATCAAAAATGAAGTAGGGAAATTTGGACATGGCGGTTCAAAAGTTATACTTTGTGTTAATTGGAATAAATAATTGCCAATATTTTTCTGGAAACAATTCTTCTCAAAATTTTTTACAAATACTTCTTCTAATTTATGAATATAATAACAAAAGTCATTACTTGGTATGTTTAACTTCCCAAACAAATTTCCTTCTTCGTTTTCATAGGCTCGAAAAGAACAATATAATGTTGTATTATCTAAGATAGCCATATTATCATTCATATATTTTGTACATATATCACAAGAATGTATTGCCGTACATCTTTTAATTAAAAATCCGCAAACATATTTAAATGCGTTTTCTTCTGGCAGATCCATTGAACAATATTCATGAGTCGGAATATTTAAAATGTTATGCGCCGATGATGAAGCAGTAAATTCCGAAACAGTGGACTCTTTGTTATTATCTAACGTTCCAATAAGATTTAACATATCATCATTATCAGAAGCACAATTTTGCGTATCCGAATGTTTTAATAATGTTGTACTAAAAAGTTTTTTAAAGGCGCGCTTAAATTGTATAGGTGTCGGATTAAGACAATTACCGCCTTGTTTCCGAACGGAACCAAAAAAATTTTCGACACAATCTTGATTTAATCTACGTGTTCGGAGATATGGAAAATTATGATTTTTTAATGTTTTCCAAAGTTGAATGATGCTATTAATTGTTATCTGCCAGCATTCAAAGCATTTAACTTTTACATATTTACCATTATTATTATTATTATTAACTACTTTAATACTTTTTATAAGATCTGACATTTCTTGCAAAAACTGCATTTGTTTTTCACTTCCGGTAAAAACTTTTCCATGTTCGTTAGGATTATTTACGGCGGACGAATTTAACATATCGAACAACTTATGATCAATGAACTTATGATCAACAAAATGATCAATTAAATCTATAGTTCCAACGACTTCAGTCGGAAGAAGACCGACAGACATCTGTGTACACATTCCTGCACATACATGGTTACTAAGTACTTGTACGGCATATTTAACTTTCATTCTCATAAAGTTATTTGGGTCCATATGAATTTTTGATAATTTAGGAGCTGCTCTTATCCATTGTTTGACGTCTTGCATATAAAATTGTCTAATATGATCCCACGAAGCTACTTTATTATTAAATTCAAAATTATGTTTTAACAAATTATTTCGGGTTGCTTTTATTAAATGTGGAGTGTCAAAAATGTAAACTAAATTTTCTCCGTTAACTGAAAAAGTTGAATTTTGTGTAGATATTCCTAAATCACGGGACAGTTGTATAAAATTAGAACCCATGTCCGTAACCAATGCATGCACCATAGCACCTGTATTTCTTAATTTAATTATTGTATCAAATATCAGATTTTTTAAAAAGTTCATATGGCATGTAGTCTCTACAAAACAAAAAACAATAGGCACCTTCCAATTACCTGCAATACTACGTGCCATAATAACTAAAGCGCTTCTTGCAGGTTTAGATGATTTTTTATCACCAATGTCTTCGAAACCAATTATTTCATCCCGTGATATATTATAAAATAAATGAGCTTTTAAACTCATTTCGTCTGCACATATTATGCAATGACGTTCTACGAGAGGCAACGTATTCAATTTCAATTTAAGTGCTTCAAAAATTTTATCATGTATACCAGGCTCAATATTCCATTTTTGCGTAAATAATTGTAGAGAACGTACAGAAGGCAATGCAATTGAATCTTTTAATTCCCGGTACATTCGTGGACTTAAAAAAAATAATGATAAAGCAAATTTCTTAAATTCGGGATCATATCTTCTGCCACGTTTACATTTTAATTGTGCGTCGACTTGTGCCGCTAATATTCTATTAAATTTTTCCGGTAATAACTTACGGCCTAGTTTTATTAGTTGATCGAATTCGTTTTCTTCTTCAACTTTTGTAGCTTTCTTCTTCTTTTCCATACGAAGCCGTCGGATTGTTTCACGCATTACTTTATTTTGCGCCTTTAATTTTTGGAACTTCTCTCGCAATTTCCTTTTTCTCGGGCTATCATCGGACGATTTAGTCCTAACTGCAGGCTTCTTGATAGTGGATGTGCTCCTGTAATATATTCCAAACGTTAGATCATAGCACAAAGATTATTTTTAAATATGATATATGTAATTATGTAACTATTTTGCTGTAAGAGACAAAAACAGCAAAATAATATTAAATAAAATCTAAAGTTAAAAGAACTTTAAATATAATATGTGTTAATAAATAAATTACATATATCCTGACAATTATATTTTATAAGAAAACTTTTATTACATAACAAATAAAGAAAATAAAAATACATGTTTAACTTTAAATTAGTAAAGAAAAACTTACGGTTGAGTTATTTCTACGTCACTGACAATAATTGGGACGATTGTTTGTGAAGTTTCTGCTTTGCTGAAAATATACAATTTTTTTTCTTTTAGCCATTATTGTTAACCCTCAGTTACCTTACGTTTTTACACCCCGATATTACCTCACCAAGGTCTGAGAGACCCCTGCCATTTTCTCCAGCTTGTATCTTCAAGACAAATGCATCAATTTGAAGTCTTTTTTTTTAATACATGCGTCTTTTAAAGATCTACAAGACTGTGCAAGTTAGATTATTCCAAGTTAAAAAATGTAAATGTTATTTAAAAAAAAAGGAAGACATGTTTTTCTAAAAAAAACGAAAAACTTTGCTTTTTTTCAAATTGATGTAGTACTGATTAAAAAAAGATACAAGAGTTTTATGAATGTCTTAAAAACCCTGTTTTAACAATGTGCAGGGTCTCTCAGACCTAGGTGAGGTAACTGAGGGTTAATAAACGTAAACAAGTCCTTTATTAATATAAATTACCTATTATCTTCTTGCACTTGCATTTCTGCAACAGTTGCCTCAACACATGTATTTCTGCAACAAAAAATATGTATCATATAATATCTATTATAAAATATAATATTATAACAAATGGAAAATTTATATTTAGCATACCTATCTACTTTCTCTTTAACCACATTTTCCTCACTTTGTTGTGTTGTTTGTTCGGGTGCTGTGTTGTCCCTAAAAGATTTTAATTATTTTATGTTTTTATGTTACTTTCGCGTAATACATAAAAAATAATGTAAATATTGTTAGATATTGTTGCTATTATTATTTTTTATGTACTACTACCTTATACCAGTATTATTCAATTTTATACTTTTTTATGAAACAAAACTAATTTAATTAAATTAAAATATGTAAAATTAATAATTATTTGTTAGTAAAAACTCACTGTTGTAGAAAACCTGGTCCAAAAAATATAGTGGGTACAGCATCTGGGTGAAGACGAGCCCTAACTTTATTAATTTTGTACCATTTGTTTTCAAAATGCACAAACGACAATTCTGGTGGGCATATTCTGGACCTTTAGGTTCTAGATCCAGCCTTCCACATGCTCGTACCCATTGCAGCCATCTGTAAATGTTGTACCATTTTACCAATGACAAAGTAATGCACACATTACAATTAAAAATATAATTTATATAAAAAATAATAATATTATATAAAGCAATGTGTTATACCTGTCTTGTTCCTTTGGAAATTTAAAAAAATGTCGTTGCACATCAATGAACTTCTTAACGCATTCTGGTACTGCACAGCTTGGCTTTCTTATCGCATTCATTTTTAATTATTATGCAGCAACACCTGAAACAAAGCTAAGATCAAAGTGCTTCCAAGAGAATTGAAAACTTATATAATATTTATATAGGTTAACTATTCCCTTAGAAAAAAATTTCTTTTTTATGTTTCCTTCGCTTTTATCACTTATATCACTTATTTCACTTTTATCACTTTCTTCACTTTTCTTCACTTCATTCTTTCACTGTCTTTATACTTTGTAAACTCTTTTCACTTTAATCACATAAACGTATTCAGAGTCTGTCAAACACTTCTAACAGCTCTCAATAGCATTCAGTGACTAATTGAGCTAATTCCCTCCAAATTTCTGCTCCAATACAGATAGGCATTTATTTAACTGACCATTTAAATTTTAAGAGGGAGCGGAGCAGAACGGAGAAAGGAAGAGCAATTGAGAAAGAAGTTCAGAGAACGACGTTCAGATGGAGTTAGTGAGCGCTTACTTATTTCGCGCATGCGCACTCCATTTTGGACAACAAGAAATCAGGAGAGTTGCGCTACTGTATATACTGTGCTTAGGGTCTGGCCTGGATCTCATACAGAAAAGGACAAGAAAAGATATAGAGGAAGAAGCGACGGCTAGAGCAGAAAAAGAACTTTTGGAAAGGTTTAACGAAACAAGGAGAGTTAATAGGTCACCACCAGCAAAGATAAAAAAAGGAGAGGAGAGTTAAGAAAGCATGGCGACAGAGGAGCTGCTGAAGAAGATTTCAAGGAAAATGGAGGTGCAAGAGGAGAAAAGGAAAAAAGATAAAGAGTGAGAGTAAGGAGATAAGGAATGATATAAGTGAGAGTAGGGAGATAAGGAATGATATAAAAGAAGAAATTAAGGGACTAAAGGAGGAATTGAAGAGAAGAGAAGAAATGTGGAAGAAACAAAAGGAAGAGCTAGAGGAAAGAGTAAGAAAGCTAGAGGAGAAGGTGGAGGTAAGGTTAAAAAGTTTGGAGGAAAAAGTAAGTGAGAGAAAAGAGGAGAGAAAGGGGGAGGTAGGAAAAGGAGAGGAGGAGATGGTGGGGAGAATGAGAGAGCTGGAGAGAAGGTTGATAAGGAAGGAGAAGGAAGAGAGAAGAAGGAATATAGTGATAAAGGGTTTAGAAGTGAAGGACGGAGGGAGGAGACAAGAGGTGGAAAAGCTATTGGAAGGAATAAGAGCCAAAGTAAAAGCAGTAGAGGTAGAGAAAATAGGGGGGGATGTAGATAAAGGAAGGGAAATGGTGTTGCTGAAGTTAGAGAATGAAGAGCAAAAATGGGAGGTGATGGAAAAAAAGAGGAGACTGGTGGGCAGAAAAGAGAGAATAACGGAGAATCGTCGCGGGAGGAAAGAAGGATGAATTGGAAACTGAGAGAGATAGCGAGAAGAGAGGAAAGAGAGGGAAGGAGGGCTTGGATTAAATCAGGTAGAATAAGGTTGGAAAATATATGATGGAGATGGGATATGGAGGAGGAGGTGCTAAAGGATGAAAGGGGAAAGATAAGAAAGGAGAGCGGAGGAGAGAAGGAAGTGGAGGGAGGCAAGGCAGGAGAGAGAGAAGAAGGAATGGAGATGGGGGAATAAGAGGAGAAGAGGAGAAAGGGGAGATAGCAGAGAATGGCAAGAAGGAGGTTAGAAGAGAGGTGGAGGGAGGAAAGAGGTCAGTATGGAGGATAGTATTCTGGAACGTAGCGGGTTTGGAAAACAAGGATAAGGAGTTTTGGGAAGGGCTAAAGAAAGAAGACGTGATAGTCATGGTAGAGACCTGGATAGGAGAAAAGGGTTGGGAAAGAATAAGGGGGAGGATGCCAACAAGATACGAATGGCGAGTGCAAATGGCGAAAAAGAAAAACAAAAAAGGGAGAGCAATAGGAGGGATGATAATGGGAATAAGAAAGGGGTTAAAAAAGAAGGAAACGGAAATGGAAATTGATAAGGAGGGAGTGATAGTGGGAAAGGTTAGGATAGGTGGCGAGAACTGGAAGATTATAGGGGTGTATGCAAAGAAAGAGGAAATGGAGGAGACAGGAACTGGGGCATTTTATGGAAGAGAAAGAGGAAAAAAGGTTTACGATAATTGGAGGAGATTTCAATGCAAGGACGGGGCAGGAAGGGGGGAGAGTAGAGGAGGAAGAGGGGGGAGGGCTGAGGAAGGGAGGAAAAAAATCGAAAGATAAAAAGATGGATAGAGAGGGGAGGTTGCTGGTGAAATGTGTAGAGGAGAGAGGGTGGGAAATATTCAATGGGAATGTGAGAGGAGATGAGGAGGGGGAATTTACTTTTACGGGAGGAAGAGGAGATACAGTGTTAGACTATGTGATAGGGGATAGAGAGATAAGAGAGAAGATCGAGGGCATGACGGTAGGGGATAGAGTGGACTCAGACCATCATCCCTTGGAAATGGTGGTATGGGGGAGCAAGGAGGAAAACAGAGGTGGAAAGTGGAAGAAAAGAAACAGGGGAGTGTGGAATGAGGAAGGAGTAAAGATGTTCAAAGAAAGAATAGGGGAAGTAGAGGAGAAAGAGGAAGAGTTAAATAAGGAATGGGACGAAATGGAAACAAGAATAGTAGAGGCAATAATAGGGGTGGAAAACGAGGTGAAGGGAAGCAGGAATAAGAAGGTGGGGTGGTCGGACAATGACTACAGAGAAGCAAAGAAGGAAACGAGAAGAAAACTGAAGGAATGGAGGAAAGTTAGGGAAGAGGGCAGTGTATACAGAGAAAGGAGGAAGGAGTTTAAGGAGCTGTGTAAGAGGAAGAAGGAGGAGGAGAATCTGAGATGGGAGAGAAAAGCGATGGAAGCAAGGAGAGAGTCGGAGGTATGGGAGATAGTAAATAGGGAGAGAAGAAAGAGGAGAGGAATCGAGGAAGGGATTGAAGAGGAAGAATGGAAAAAATACTTTATGCAGCTGTTAGGTGGAGTAGAGGGTAGGGTAAAGATGGGAGAGGACGAGGGGCGGGAAGGAAAGGAAAGAGAGGAGGAAGAGGAAATAAGCATAGAAGAAATGAGGAGGGCAATAAGGAAGTTAAAGGATGGAAAAGCAATGGGAAGGGATGGGATACCAGGTGAGGCGTGGAAATATGGGGGGAAGGAGTTGGAGACTTGGGCATGGAGATATATAAACAGAGTATGGAAGGGGGGAGGTTGGCCGGAGAATCGGAAAGAGGGATTAATCGCCCCAATCGTAAAGAAAGGGAAAGGAAAAAAGGTGGAGGAGTACAGAGGGGTGACAATAATGTAGTCGCTGTACAAGGTGTACACGGCCATACTTGCGGAAAGGTTGAGAGAGGAGCTAGAGGAGAAGGGAATTGTACCACATAATCAGACGGGTTTCAGAAGGGGAATGGGAACTGTGGATAATATGTACGTTTTAAACTACTTGGTGAATAGGAGGCTGGAGAAAAAAGGGGGAAAGTTAATAGCATGTTTTGTAGATCTTAAGGCGGCGTTTGACTCGGCAGACAGGAGGGTGCTAGTAAAAGCAATGAGGGAAAGGGGAATAAGGGAAGGGCTGGTGAGAAGGGCGGAGGAGTTACTGAGGGAGACGAGAAGTAGAGTAAGGGTAGGTAACGATATAGGAGAGGCATTCTGGACGGCGAGGGGGGTAAGACAAGGGTGCCCGCTAAGCCCGTTATTGTTTAACGTGTTACTAGCAGATATGGAGGAAGAAATGGGCAGGGTAAAATGGGGAGGGATAATGTTAGAAGGTAAGAGGGTATATACGCTGGCATATGCTGACGATGTAGTGCTAATCGCAGAGGACGAGGAGCAAATGAGGAGTATGTTAAAAAAATTGGAAGAGTACTTAAGGAGGAAGAGACTGGAGCTGAATGTGGAGAAAACGAAAATAATGAGGTTTAGGAAGGGAAGAGGGAGGGACAGTAAAAGAAGCTGGAGATGGGAAGGGAAGGAATTAGGGGAGGTAAAGGAATTTCGATACCTAGGCTACGTATTTCAAAGGAATGGAGGACAGCAAGCGCAGGTAAAGGAAAGGATTAGGAAAGCGGCGGCGGTGATGGGAAAGATTTGGGGGATAGGGAAGAGAAGGTTTGGGAAAGACTGGGGAAAAAGGCTGTGGCTGTTTGATAGGCTGGTGTGGACGGTGATGGGATACGGAGCAGAAATATGGGGATGGAGAGAAAAAAAAGGGATGGAAAGGATGGAAGAAAGGTATATTAGATGGGTCTTAGGAGTGGACGGGAGAACACCGTGGTACCTTGTTAGGGAAGAGTTGCAAAGGGAGAAGCTAAGAGGGAGAGCAAGGATGAGAGCATGGAGATTTGAGAAAAAGTTAGAGGAGGGTAGAGGAAGCGAACTGGCGAGGCGATGTTGGAAAGAGATAAAAGGAAGGGAGAGGGAAGGGAGAACAGGCTCGAGTTGGGAAAGAGAGAGAGGAAAGTTCTTCGAAGAAAGAGAAGTGGAGTTAGAAGAATTGGAAAGGTTGAGAGAAGACGGAGATGATTGGTTTAAGCTGTTTGGGGGAGACAAGGAGAGGCAGAGGAGAGAGAGATGGGAGAAGATCGAGAAATCAAATTATAATAAATGGTATAAGTTGATAAAAGGAGAGGGTATCCCGGGATATCTGAAGAAGGGATGGGGAGAGAGCAGATGGAGAAGGGTGGCGAGGTTTAGATTAGGGAATGAGATGAGAGAGAGTAGGTACTGGGAAGAGGAAGAGAAGAAGAAGTGTAGGCTGTGTGAATACAAGGAAGAAACGTGGGAACATGTATGGGAAGAATGTAGAAGATGGAAATCTGGAGGAGGAGGATGGCAGGAAGCGGTGGAATAGGTATTGGATGAGGAGGGGGGAGGAGAGAAATGGATGATGGAAATAGAGGGGAAAAGAATGGGAGGAAAAGGGGAGTTAGAGGAGCAAGGAGAAGGAGCAGGGGAGAGAGAGAGGGAGGAAGAAGAGGTGGACGGAGAATAAAAAAGGAGATTGGAAAAGAGAATAGAAGAAAGCAGGATGGCAAGGATATCTGAGGGGGAGGAGTTTTCGAGAGAGATGGAGGAGAAGACTTGGATGGACTCGGACGAGGACAAAGAGGTCAGGAAGAAAAGACAGTAGGACGTAAGGGGGGAACCGAGACAGGAAGGAGGGAGGTAGAAGGACGCAGAGGCGGAGGAAGCGGAAGGGGTCAAGCAGAGGGGCCAATGAAGAGGAGGGAGGGTGGCGAAAAAAGGAAAAAATTGTAAGGTTGTAAAATGGCCAGGTTTTAAGGGGAGGAATGTTGTAAGAGGTTTGGGTACATTCCTCATAAAAACGCCTTGCAGATTGTAAACCCTACGGGGAAAAGCAATAAAGATACATACATACATACATACATATATGAAAAAATTTTTTATCGCTTATTCGGTAAAAAATTTTTTATATAAAAACAAATAAGTAGGTAAGCTATGGGAGTTCTAACTAGGGAGCAATGAGGGGGGGTGAGGGGCGGGGGGAACCGCGGGCGAGGGGGAACCGCGGGCGGGGGGAAAGACCGCGGGGGGGGACCCGGGGGGCGCGGAAGAAGGGGGACCGCGCGTTTCGGGCGCCGCGGAAAAGGGGGAAGGGGGGAACCGCGTTTTTTCGGGCGCCGCGGGGAGGGGAAGGGGGAAACCACGTTTTTCGGCGTTGCGGAGGAGGGGGTCCGCGTTTTCCGGTGTCGCGGGGGAGGGGGGAATCGCGTTTTCCAGCGCCGCGAGGTGATCGCGTTTCCGCCGCGCCGCGGGGCGAGGGGGTCCGCGTTCGCGTTTCGCCGCGCCGCGGAGTCCGCGTGACGTCACACGGCACGCTCGCGTTATCTCCCTCTCGTAGATGTTTTTTTCCCGTCCCCCCATTTGTCTTCTCGTTCGCGCGGTGTCTCGCGCCCCCGTCCCCCCGTTTGCGCGAGTCTTCTCGTTCGCGCGGTCTCTTTCCCTTGCGCGTTCCCGCTCGCTCCCGGCCCCCGTTTGCGTTCTCGCTCCTTCACTCACGTTTTTCTTTTCCCGCCCGCGATCTCTCTTCTTGAAAAACAGCATTTTTTGTTTTTATAAACGAACGCAGTGCGAGTTTTAGATTTCCATAAAACATACTTTTTTGTCATTAAACTTTTACATAATCTAACGAATATATAGGAAAATCAAACAAAAAATCATACTTCTATTTACTGCAACTATAATTTCTCTTTTTATTTAATATGTTACCCTAATGCAGCATATTTACAAACGTGTTACATATTTCTATTTTGTTGAACATTATATAACCTTAAAAAATGTTTTTATTGGTAGTACTTAGTTATTAAATTGATGTATATCATTATTTTAACATTAATATTATATATTGTTTTATTTGTAGATTAACTGGTGTATTAAACAAAGACACTGCGGGTGATCTTTTTCTCGCATTACCTGAAACATGCAAATAACAAGATTAAGATAAGGATTCAATTTTTATTGAAAAAGCGATTATCTTACCAATACTTTTCCTCCTCTTCCTCGAAGAGTCGTCGTAAATAAAATATGTCGAATTTGTTGCACCCCCAAAATAGGTCCAGCAGTTCTCTGTTGTCCTGCTTTTCCCGTCTCACCCACCGCTGATAATCGATGTTTATGTACCCACCGATTATGTAGTTCATGCGCGGTTGTAAGATCAACATTAAAAAATATATATTTTTCTTAAAACATATGCACGCACAAAGAAAAAAATACTCACATAATTTCGCGGAATGCAGATCCGCACCCACTGCCCGCGCCCCTCCAAGCGTACCTCGATTCCCTCGACATCCTCCGGTCCATTCCACTAAACAGAAAAAAACAAATAAAAAAACTCTGTATTACACTGTTCACTCCACTATGTTACACTGTTTACTACACTACGTTACACTATCCGTACCATCTCTACTGGAAAGTAGATACTAATAAATCTACGTGCCATGTTTGCAACGTTTGTACAGACCACGTACAGACTGTGCTCTGACTTGAGGCAGAGCTCAATTTATAGGGCATCTAAAAATGAAGAGAGAGGGTTGCACGTGATTTATCTGTGATATATTATCAAAAACTAGCTATCATGAAAAATAATCCTCTACTTACCGTTGCATCTTGCAATCGCGAGTGGATACTCTGAACCGCTATCGAACAAAATAAGAAGCGGTGATGCGCGCGATTTATCTGCGGCGTATTATGTTACGCGAAAATAATCCTCGCGAGAAAAAAGACAGCTATTGTACCGCTATGAAACAGCTAAAAACAGCTATCAAACAGCTCTTGAACAGCTATCAAACAACTAAAACAGTTATCTGTATAACTGCAATCTGTATAACTGCTATTGAACCGCTATCAAACTTTTTTTAAACAACTAAAAACAGCTAAAAACAGCTATCAAACAGCTATTGAACTGCTATAAAACAGCTAAAAACAGCTAAAAAAAGCTATCAAACAGCTATGAAACAGCTAAAAACAGCTAAAAACAGCTATCAAACAACTAAAAACAGCTAAAAACAGCTATTGAACTGCTATGAAACAGCTAAAAACAGCTAAAAACAGCTATTGAACTGCTTTGAAACAGCTAAAAACAACTAAAAACAGCTATCAAACAGCTATTAAATCGCTATGAAACAGCTAAAAACAGCTATCAAACAGCTATGAAACAGCTAAAAACAGCTATCAAACACCTCTTGAACAGCTATAAAACAACTAAAACAGCTATCAGTATAACTGCGATCTGTATAACTGCTATTGAATCGCTATTGAACCGCTATGAAACAGCTAAAAAGAGCCATCAAACAATTAAAAACAACTAAAAACAGCTCTTGAACAGCTAAAACATCTATATTATACTACAAAGTATGTAGGAAAAAGAAATAAAACATTTATATATACATATATAGTTTATTTCAAAAAAATCATAATTTTTTCTGGTGTCGCGACCACCAGTTAAATACTTTTAATACATTTTGTAATGCGCAATTCTTAACATGTTTTTCGCATCTTACAGTATTAGTAACATCTAGATTATTTAAAGATTCGATATCTTCGTAATCTGCATCCAAAGTCTCAATTTTTAGATGTTTTCTCGCTTTATTCTCAAGCAGATCCACCAGCCATTCTCGTTTCTGGCATCCCTTGACGTACACAAGAGTCGACGTCTCGTCGCCCTCTCCAAGTACGGCCGATGTAATTAGATGTTTCGCCATGCTGTAGGGCACGTCCTCCCATCGTAGTCCATGGTGATTCGCAATCAACCAGGAAGCGCATGATCTGTCGGATTTCGTGAGG